ACCAAGGTACATGCCCTTGACCAGAATCAAACCCAGGACCTTTCAGTCTGCAGGCCAATGCTCTATCCACTGAGCCAAACCGGTTTCGGCCTCCTTACTCTTTTTGCCCTAAAAGTGGGGCAGAACTTCTGGATGTGTACCCAAAGAATTAGAAGCAGACACAAACAGGTCCGTGCACACCCGTGTTCACAGCAGCATTGCTCACCAGAGACAAAGGCGGAAACAACCTGAATGTCCTTGGATGGATGAATGGATGAACAAAATGTGATCTATACATACAGCATATTATTGTATACTGTATGTTAGTTAGCCATAAAAAAGGTGTGAAATTCTGACACATGCTACAACATGGATGAACTGGAGTATGTTATGATGAGTGAAATAAGCCAGTCACAGAAGGACAAAGACTGTATGGTTCTGCTCATAGATGAGGTTCCCGGCATAGACAAGTTCGCGGAGATGAAGGGAGAAGAGTGGGTGCCAGGGGCGGGGGGAGGGAAGGAGGAGGTGATGTTTAATGGCACAGAGTTCCTGTTTGGGAAGATGAACTAGTCTGGAGGTGGATGATGATGATGCTTATACAACCATCGTGAATGTGTTTAATGCCGCTGACTTGTACGCTTGGAAATGATGACAATGCTGAGTTTTATGGGGCAAAATTGGGACAAGCCCAGCCAGCATGGCTCAGTGGTTGAGTGTCAACCTATGAACCAGGAGGTCACGATTTGATTCCTGGTCAAGGCACATCCCTGGGTTGCAGGCTCGATCCCCAGTAGGGGCTGTGCAGGAGGCAGCCAATCAATGATTTTCTCTCATCATTGATGTTCCTATTTCTCACTTTCCCTTCCTCTCTAAAATCAATCAAAATATATATATTAATAATGGGACATGAGTGAACTTCCAGTCCCATAGCTGAGAACATGGACCATGGGGACAGCACTCTCTCCCTCTCCCTCCTCCTCCCTCTTCTCGTGTACAGAGATAAAGCTGGGCTTTTGTGCTGAAGGAGGGCTTCTGGCTTCCTGGTTGGGACTCATTCTGAAATGAAGAAGGGAGTCCAAGTGACAGATTAGCCTGGTTTCCCTCAGAAAGCAGAGTTCCTGGAAGCAGCCCAGGAGCAGGAGTCCCTCGGGGGAGTGACATGGGTGGGGGTTGGGGGGGAAGGTTATGGGAGGGGCGAGAGATGGAGTGAGAAAAGCCAGACAGAGGAGTATATGGATCTGGTTACCACCAGGGCCCCATCCCCTAGGACCCATGGAGGGACTGTGTTGACAGCACCTCAGAACTGTCATCTGGGAGACCAAAAAGAGTGTGTGTGCCCAGGCATGTTAGCTCCTGGCACTTCCAGGGTGCCAGCTGGGATCCTACAGGTGTGCCCGGGCAGAAGGCACCCAGGGGCAGAGGTCAGGTGCTGTCGGCTACACTGCATGCCCCTGATTGAGCAGCAGTGACTGGAGTAGGAGGGAGGGCAGCTGCGAGATTGTGCCTCAGGAGGCATCCAGCATCCTCTTTTCCCCTCTGGGCAGCAGCATTCTGCAGGGTGGGAGTGGGTCTCAATGCCTGTCCTTTTCCTCATTGAGCCGGCGGGGTTGGGGCTCCCTCACAGGACAGGACTAGGGTATGCCCAAGAGAGTCCCAGGAGAGGCCTGGAGGGTCCATCAGAGCAGAACAGAGGCCACTGCTGGAGGCAGAGCCGGGCACCCATCCTGGAAAGCTCCAAGCCAGTGCCTGCAAAAGCCAGGCCTGCACCTGTGCCTGTGCAGGTGCCAGGAAGCCCTCGATAAGATCTGAAGTCTTCAAGGAATAATAGGCATGGCCTTAGGCGCTACCTTCTCCTGCAGGCGGCTCCTTTCTGCCCTCTCTGGACATCAATCTTATCATGCCATCTGGCCGGGACCAGCAGCTGGGCATGGGCCCAGCCCTCTGGAGCCCGAATCCCATTGCAGCACTTGAATTCATTGAGGGGACTGGGGAGGTGGGAGATGTCCTGAGGGCCAGAGGAGGCTGCCAGGAGAGGGGATGAACAGGCAGGTGTAGGTGGACCTGGAGCTCTGCTGTGCTAACTTTGGCAAGTTACTTGACCTCTCTGAACCTCCGTTTTCTAAGTACTGATCTCATAGAGTTGTTGTGAGGGGTAAGTGGGTGAAGGCGTATCAAGTGCTGAGAAGAATGCCTGGCACATGATCTGGGCTCAGTGCAGTTAGTCATTCCTGTTATTAGAAGGCACAGTGCTCATGCCCATAGGTCAAAGCCGAGTGAATCCTTTGCCCACTAAACCTGGGGGATGGGCTGTTGCCAGGTGGCCTCTAAGGCGCTGTTCTACATTCCATGAGTGAGAGGACCTCTGGGTTCAGAGGGTGGAGGGAATGGGAAAGTGCTTCAGGATGAGGGGTACAGTGTGAACAAAAGCAGAAGCAGAAAGAGCCCTGCACATTGGTCTTTTGCTGCACAGCACATCACTACAAACTTAATGGATTATGGCAATGCCGTAGACTACCTCCCAGTTCCGGAAGTGAGTCACTCTCGGCGTATCACGAGGCTGAAATCAAGGCCTGCCAGGCTGGGTTCGTCTCTGGAGGCACAGGGGAATAAAGTCTGCTTCCAGGAGCATTGGATTTTGACAGAATTAACTTCCTTGCACTTGTAAGGCTAAGGTGCCCTTCTCCTTTCTGCATGGACCAGAGATTCCCAGAGGCTGCTACATTCCTTGAAGGTGCCCCCTCCTTCTCGCCAGCAGTGGTGTGTCCTGTCTTTCTTGGGCTTTGAATCTTTGTCTCTAGCTCCAGGCCCAGATTGAAGAGATTCATGTAATTAGGCCCTCCTGCATAGACTCCCTATATTCAAGTCTGCTGATTTGGAGTTTAATTATATTTGCAAGATTCCTTCAGTGTTTCATTGAGTAACTGGAAGGAGGTGTACATGCAGGACACTCTCATGGTTTTGCCTAGCACACAGACATATGCCTGGGGCAAGCAGCAGAGTAGACAGATGGAGGTGGGGGGGTGGGGGAGGGAGTTGCAGGAGGTCATGGGAGCAGAAGGGATAAGATGGGTGGGTATTGGTGGTGGGAGGGATGGAAGGTCACTGTAGGCCTTGAATGGCAGGTGGAAGAAGGGGCATTGGACACACCGAACCTCTGACCGTGGCCTTGTACCACTAGGCATGCTTATTCCAATCAGAAATGACTCCTTTCAGACCCACTGTCCCCTGAGTCTCCACACCTGGGTTCCCTACTCTGATGTGGGCTCCTGGGCCTGAAACCCTTGGACCACTCCCTCTGGAATGGAGCAGGCTCCAAACCTCAAGGCCACTGAGCTCAGGAGCCCAGAACTAGCTCCCTCTAGCATCAGCCACTCCCCTGCAGCAGCCAGGGGTCCAAGGGAGCCTGCACTCCTTGCAGCAACCAAAACCCAAAAATCAGAGTCAGAAGGTGTGTGTCTACCATCGCGAACTCAATCTTTGACCAGGCCAGCAGGGATATGTGAGTCAGCATTCATGAACTTGGTGGATTTCTGGAACCAGTGGGCCATGCCTTGTCTTGTTGATCACTAGCAAATAACTATGTTCTAAAAACGTTCTCAGTAATCCAAGGTTTTGAAATTCAAATGTTCCTGGAAACATGCCAGGACCTTGTCTTTGTTATGAACAGTCACAGCTAGGCAGGCGCATGCTACCCTTTGAGTCTCGGATCTCCGGGTGTACATTCAGGTCCTCAGTGTGCCCAGTGGCAGTGGGTTCATAGATGGCATTCTCCTGGTGAAACCATGTGCAGCATCCTCTAGCTGAGGGGACTCCCCTTGGAGAACAGCAATGTTCAGACAATGAAAGGGATACCAGACAAACTTTGAAGCCCCTTCCCATCTGGCTTAGAACCTGTCAGGAAAGGGGGAGGGCCCCTCATGGGGGACTTAGAGCTGAGAAAGGTTCTAGCTCGTCCCACTTCTAGGTAGTCAGGCGGGAGCTCTGGGCAAGGAGTGGGAGAGGGATGCGGAGGTGGCCCAGCAGGCCAGGGCCTCTACAGCAGCTGGGCCCATCCAGTCCGTCCTGGAAGGAATAGCAGTCCTTTTTTTTTTTTTTTAAATATATTTTATTGATTTTGTACAGAGAGGAAGGGAGAGAGATAGAAACATCGATGAGAGAGTCATCGACCAGCTGCCTCTTGCACACCCCCTGCTGGGAATATGCCCGCAACCAAGGTACATGCCCTTGACCAGAATCGAACCCGGGACCTTTCAGTTCCCAAACCGACGCTCTATCCATTGAGCTAAACCGGTTTTGGCAAGGGACAGCAGTTCTATTGTTGGATTTCAACAGTGTCCCTGGAATGCCACCCCGGGTGTGCCAGGCCACATCTGAGAGAAGGCCCAAGGGCTTACCAGGGTATGCAGGGTGGCCAGGCAGCCTCCATGGCTAGGCCATGCCTTCCCAAACCACCCACCAGGCCTTTCACCTCTGTCATTAAAAGCAGGTCACATTCCTACAGACTGAGCCAGCATGGGTCCCCGGAGCCGCTCCATCATGAGGCTGCAGAATTCAGGCCTGCAGGCTTCAACTACTGTAGGGAGAGTCTGGTGACCAAAGAGGAGACATCTCTTTACAAGGAGGCATTTCCTTGGAGGGTTCGTATCTGAGGGTCCCTGATACATCCTAATGGTTGGATCAGAGACACCAAAGCCTGTGGTCTATTTTATTCTGCTTTACGGCAGCGTTTCTTAACTCCACGTTGGGAAATGGGGCTTGAGTGGTCGACTGGTCTGTTTTCTGCTTTTTCCCAGATAGCAAAGTGTAGGTATGGACTAATCCCAAACATCGCACACGTTCCTATGTTGGTCAGCGAGGCAAGTTGCCTGCCTTGTGTGGGCCTCAGTTTCCCTTTGCTCACAGGAGAATTACAGCATCCACCTCACCCTAATGAGGGCATGGCCTCCGCCTCCAGCTTTTTTCTCACAGAGCCGTGCTCCTTCTCTCCCGCAGCCTTGACCCAGGCCTGCGCTAGAGGGATGGAGAACTCCTCGGCAGCGTCTGCCTCCTCTGAGGCCGGGAGCAGCCGCTCCCAGGAGATCGAGGAGCTTGAGCGCTTCATCGACAGCTACGTGCTCGAGTACCAGGTGCAGGGGCTGCTGACAGACAAGACAGAGGGTGACGGTGAGAGCGAGAAAACGCAGTCCCACATCTCCCAGGTGAGCATCGCCCCAGGGAGGAGGAGAAGGGCTGGGGCCTGGGCAGGCACGGGGCCTGGGAAAACTCAAAGGGTGTGATAAGGGAACCCTAAATCCAATTGCCTGGTTCTAGACTGCTGAGATGTGGATGGTCCCACTTAACAGAGTGTGGGACCCTTGCAGGAAGCCCATCTCAGACCTTCTGACCCGCCTCTGCTCTGTCCCACCCTATTGGGCCAACGTGCGATTAACAACACAGATGTATTGAGTACCTACTATGTGTTCTACCCTACTTATTCCCTGTCCTCTTTAAGCTTATGTTCTGAAAGAGATTTGGGGGTTACAGCTTATCCAAAATGCACACAATGAGAAGGCTGAGACTTGTGAATATTTTCTCTGATTTCATATACAGGAAGTTGTGGGCAGCTACAGAATTGAATCTCTCTGGCAATCCCTCAGGGCTCTGTGTCAGACCTAGTGAAGCCCTTGAGGCATTCTGACCAGGATCTCAGGCTGGTCTCGCCCCCTCCTGGTCAGTCTGTGGCAGGCCTGGTGTTGGGTGGAAGGTGGACTCGGAGGAAAGACTGTGGGCCAAGATTGGGGTGGGGAGGAAGCACTCTTGCCGCCTCCCTAAGCATCTGGGAGCTCTCTCCCCCAGGAGCTGGCCCATGAACAGGTGGGTGGGGCCAACCTGGTGGGTGCTGCCTGCCTCCACCACCATGTGGACTCTGGCGGCTCCAGCAGGGCATCTTTCAAAGTTTCTTCCAGGTGAAATGGGTTCTTACAGGAGGAAGGTCCAAGGAAGCCATAAAGCTTCGCCCTAGGGCAGTGGTCGGTAAACCGTGGCTTTCGAGCTGCTCTGTTGACTAATGAGTTTCCCAACCACTGGACTAGACTAGATGTTACCGTGCAGTTGGAAGCTGTAAGGGTTAGGCAATTGTGGCATATTGTGTGTAAAGAGGTAAAGGGTAGTATATGATAGTGGTCGGCAAACTCATTAGTCAACAGAGCGGCAAACCGTGGCTCCCAAGTCGCATGTGGCTCTCAAGCCTCAGTTTGCTGACCACTACTCTAGAGGAATGCTTTGTGGATTTTTGTTTCCAAAACGGGCCCTGGGAAGAGAATTTTGGAAGGCGGGGCCTGCCAGTGGCTTTGACCTTCCTGTGGTCACTGCTGGGCTCTCAGGAGGACAGCAAATAAGAGTAGTGCCCTCCCTCTGGGCTCTGCACTGCCGATTCCTGCTCCTGGGATAGATTGGATCTGACCACGCACCAGGATCCACATCAGAAGGAGCTTTAAACAGATGCTTGTTGCCCTGGCTGGGTGGCTCAGTTAGTTGGAGCATTGTTCCATACACCAAAAGATTGTGGGTTTCATTCCTAGTCAGGGCACATACCTAGGTTACAGGTTCAATCCCCCATTGGGACACATATGGGAGGCAACCCATCAATGTTTCTCTCCCTTCCTCTCTCTAAAAAAGTCAATTAAAAAAAAATCCTCAAGTCCACATTCGCCCCACAGACCCAGCTGGGGTACACGCTCCAGAGGAGGGTGCATTGTGGACAAGGCCGGGCTTAGAAGTGTCTACACAACACACTTCTGTTGACACAGCCTTATGGGAAATCTTTCGGCTAAAGCACGCCTGGTTGTTTTTATTTAATTTGATGATTATTTTAGATGGAAGCCAAAAAAAAAAGAATAAAAATAACCCCAGAAAATGTCCCCGTCTGCCTGTCTGGGTGGTGCTTTTATGTTTCTGGGAGAGGAAAATGGTTAAGAATCTTGGAAACCTTGAGAAAGCTTGAGGGGATGGGGAAGAATGTTGTCCTCCAGTTGGTGAGGCCATTTTCTTAGAATCTGAGAGATGACAGTTGGCACTCGGGAGGAAAATGCCTTACTATGCCTGTTCTCCCTGTCCCTCTCCAGCACCAACTGGAAAGATAGGTGGATAGCCAGATAGCTGGAAGGGGAGGGGAGAGAAGGAAGGGGAGGGAAGAGCATGAGAGGGGAAGGAGGGAGAAGAGAAAGTGAGCTTCCATTTCTTTAGATGAGTAACCAAGAGCATACTAGTATAGGCTCCAAGTTTCCCAGCACTTTCAGGATACCATATTTTAAATCAAAACCCACACACACATACACCCTACATTGGATTCCAAGTCCCCAAAGTCGTATCCTGAAAGTTGTCCTCTCTCTGTGCCTGGCAGTAAGGGGGTTATAGTTCCATTGTGCAGAAGAAACAGCTGAGACACAGAGACAGGAACTAGCCAGACTGCCCTGCCGTGATGCCCATAGGTAGGCTGGGAATCCAAGTATTCCAATTGGCCTGAGGGCTCTCTTTCACAATGTTTTTCTTCTCTTTTTCTTCTTGTTGTTGTTTCATTCTGCCTTCCCTGTTCCCTGTTGCCTCATCCCCCTTTTATCCCATCCCTTCATTTCACCTTGCCTCCGAACCTCCAACCACCACCTCTTTGCTCGTAGGAGGAAGCACTCAATGGTGGACCACCCATGAAAGTCTTTACAGAAGAAGTGAGTTTGAAGGAAGCTGTGGGGTGGTTGACCATGGAGGACTCATTTTATTTTTCCCCTTATTTAAAAAAATAATATTTATCTTTACATTTATAAGCACTATAGGCATACATTCTCATGTTACACAAGAATTCAAATATTATCAATAGAACCCCCTTAGCGAATTCCTATATAATATGACATATAGAAATGTATTATTTCAAAATCAGAGATTGTAGCCAGTAACTGTGTTGTTCAATAACTCACATTTTCCCTTAGTTGTATGCCCTGGGGAGTCTTCTGTGTGTATATCTGCTGTGTTCTGTTTAATGCTCGCACAGTAGCCCATAGTATGGATGTCCCATAGCTCAGCCTTTCACCTTTGATGGGCATTCAGGTTACTTCCAAAATTTCCTCTGGAAATACAAGGTACTTCAGTGAAGACGGACGTGCCTCCGTCTGCACAATCAAAAGCGTTTCTTTAGGCAGATGCTGAGAAGTGGAATCAGTTTCAACAGCCATTGTCAAATTGCTCTCCAGAATGACTGACTGTTATTCACACTGCCACCAGTGTGTTGGGACAAATTGTCTCTTGTCATTTAATGTGAAGCTTCTTGATTTCTTTTTAATATGATTACCAGTTATTTTTTAAAGGGTTAAATTTTTATTTTACTTCTAAAGCAACATTTGGGAAATCAGAGACAGTCAGAATACAGAGAAAGAAGTTCAGCATAATTTTATGGCAGAAGCCAATATACTAGTAATTTCTGGTGTAAAACTCTTTCTTTATATACCTTTACAAAGCTGAGGTTCTAGCATCCATGTAGTTTTTAGCTTGCTTCTTTATTTAGCATGAGCTCCTACACATTGCTTGGTGGTGTTTGGCATAAAGCACAATTGTTTAAATCTGCCCTTTTTCTACCAGTTACTTTTGGCTGCATAGTGAAATATAATTAGAGCTAATGTTTATTTATCAGGCCCTGTTCTAGGCTCTGGGACAGAGTGATTAGCAGAAAGGACCATATAATCCCTTTCCCCCACCTCTTACTTTCCGGTGGGGGAAAATGGATGATAGACAAAGAACTAGACCGTTAAAAGGTTATATACACACGAGTGAGGCACAGTCAGGGGTATGAGAGCTGGGCTGTCCCCAAGGCTTACTTAGAAGAGGATTTTTGAGCAAAGATTTGGAGAAGATAAGAGAAGGGGCCACATGGGAATGAGTATTCCAGGAAGAGGGAATGTCAAGGGCACAGATCACGTCCTGCTGTGAGGAACAGCTTTGGGTCCAGTCTCCTGGGAGCAGAGTGAGCAAGTGGAATGTCGTAGAAGAGACAGATCTGCAGGGCCTTGTTGGCCCCAAAGAGGACTCTGGCTTTTTCTCTAGCGAGACAGGAAGACACGCTAGGAAGGACATGGTATGACTGATTAAAGACTAGGAAGCCATTTAGGTGGTCCAAGTGAGAGGTGTGGCTTGGAGCAGCAGGGTCACTATTGAGGTGGTGAGAAATTATCAGATACTTATTATATAGGGTGGGGCAGAAGTAGGTTTGCAGTTGTGAGTGTGAAACACAGATTATTCTTGTATTATTTATTTATTTGTTTGTTTTATTGATTTTTTTACAGAGAGGAAGGGAGAGGGATAGAGAGTTAGAAACAACGATGAGAGAGAAACATCGACCAGCTGCCTCCTGCACACCCCCCACCGAGGATGTGCCCGCAACCAAGGTACATGCCCTTGATCTGAATCGAACCTGGGACTCTTCAGTCCACAGACTGACGCTCTATCCACTGAGTCAAACCAGTCTTGGCTATTCTTGTATTATTATTTATTAATTATTGTATTATTTTCCACGTGAACAACTGTTAATTTACTTTTGCCCCACCTTGTATGTATATATATTATATACGTATACTTTTTATTTTGAAGTTATTTTATAGTAAAGGTGCAAAAATAGTGCAGGGTGTCCTTTGAACCTGTTTGTCACCCAGCATCCCCCAATCTGAGCGTCTTACATAATAACCACAGTGCAGTGATCAGAACTAGGAAATTAATATTGGTACAATGTGGCCTTATTCAGGATTTTACCAGTTGTTCCACTAAATATCCTTGTTCTATTCCAAGATCCAAATTTGGTCATTGTTGTGTCTCCTTATTCTCCTCCAATCTGTGAAACTCTCTTGGTCTTTTCTTATCTTTCATAACCTTAACACTTTTTAAAAAACATATTTTCAGAGGAAGAGAGAGATAAAAACATCAATGATGAGAGAGAATCATCAATCGGCTGTCTGCATATCCCACCTGGGGATCGAGCTCACAACCCAGCATGTGCTCTGACTAGGAATCAAACCGTGACCTCCCTGGTTCATAGGTCGATGTTCAACCACTGAGCCACACCGGTCAGGGGACCTTGATGGTTTTGAAGAGTACTGATCACTTGTTTTGTAGAAAGTTTCCTAACATGAATTGCCTGATGTTTTGTCCTGATTAGATTGAGATTGTATTTTTGGCAAGAACACCTCAGAGGTAATGTGCCCTTCTCAATGCATCCATCGTGTTGGGGAGTCCAGGATGTTGATAGAATTTATCGCAGGCAGTGATATCCTCAAAAACAGGTGTCTGATAGATTTCTCCTTTTCCCCTATAATTAATACATATCTTGGGGAGATGCTTTGAGACTGCAAATATCGAGACAGAGGGAATTTAATGCATGGCGTTGGTTACGGATAATAAAAAAGCTGAGCAGCAAAATTACCCGAGATTTAACAGCAAGAAGCCTTACCATCTTTACACCTGATACACAGGTGTTGCCAGAGTCAGGGTCAGGGTCGTGCACAGAAGGCTGCCTGCTGAGGGCTGAAGCCATGAGGGGAACCCTGTCACTGCTGGTAATGCCACCTGAGGTGGGGGAAGGTGGTAGCTTATGCTCTGACTCCTCCCTTCCGGTCTCCCATTGGCCAAACCAACTGATTGAGTTCTCCCTTCTTCCTGTCTCCTATTGGCCAAACCAGCTGACACGGAGGCTAGGAGGCACAGTAGGCAGGGACCAGCTCCTCTGGAGTGCAGAGCCAGGATGGGCAAGAAGTGGGTATGAGAGCTGGGACTCCCCAGGGACTGGGACACCACCTTTGCCATTTCCCTCCAGCTGGTATGTCCCATATGCCAGCCATCCCATGCAGCTCGCAAGCACTTGCAATGTGGCAGGTTCAAATTGACGTGGGCTCTAAGTGGATTTCAAAAACTTAATGTGAAGAGAAGAATATAAAACATCTCATTAATACATTTTATGTTGATTACCTATCTTAAATATGTTGAGACAAAATGGAGTATGCACTTAATTTGACCTTTTTAATGTGGCTACTGGGTCATTTACAGTTAGATCTGCAGCTCTGTGTGTGGCTCTCATCCTGTGTCTGCTGACAGCACTGCTCTGAGCACACTGCACTGGCCCGTGTCATCAGCATTGTGATATCGATACATATCTTTCCTGCACAGAGGTCGTGCCCTTGGCCCACAATCGGGAAGGTGTGTCCAGCCAAGGTTACACAAGACCAGGCCTTGAGCCGTCTGCGCTCACTGCCAGTTTTGACCAGGTGTGTCAGGCAGAGAGAGTACTTTCCCTGTAAGGGTGTAGATCAAGGTCCTTGTCCAGCAGCCTTAGCCTGTGAGGCCAGAGAATGTTTAACACAATAATAACATCTCCACCATGGAGCTCTATAGCACCTACTCAGGAAGGGCCCCACTGTTCCTATGCTCCGTATCCCAGTGTTTTATGGTTTACAAACGTCCTCATCGCAGCCTGCAGAGCTGCCCAGCCTGGCTGTCCCATTATGTAGATGACACAGTGAAGCCTGGGAGGTCACATGGATATCAGTGGCTCTGAAACTCCTGGTGCATCACTCAGGAGATTGTCAAAACACTGATGCCCAGGCCTTGCCCTCACAGTCTGATTCAGTGGGTGAACAGTGGGGTCCAGGAACCCCAGTGTGGCAGGCTTTAGAACGGTCAAGGGGGGGGGGGGCACACTTGGGCATATCAGGCCTCTAAGCTGTCACCCGGAAGTTGTGGGTCTGAGCTCTGCTGGCCAGTCTGGGGCTCTTCCCCAAGGCCGGGCTGTCCTGTCGGTCCACAGCTCCATCGTCATTTGTAGCTGAGCATACAGGAAGATCCACACACACATCCCTCTCACCTCCAGCTCTGGCCTTGACATTGTAGAGGGCTAGAGTGGCTGGAGGTGGTCAGATGGGCAAACATGGTGCCCGTTGTTCAAAACTCAGTGATCCTGTGTCACATCTGGTTGACTTTGGAGTGTAGCTGGATCTTCATCACTTCGGTGGGCTTAGGTGAAGGGAACTAGGTTGCCTTCCCCATGTGTACCAGAGATGCCAGCTTGGACCTGCTGGTCGGAAGGATTTGCTGTTAAAATGGCCAAGCAGGATTCTCAACTGTCTCTGCAGCAGGAGGACAGGGCCATGCCTTGGGGGGGTGGGGGGGGCTGGTGGTGGGCTGAGTGGGGCTGAGCCTGCATGTCCTGCCATCACTGACCTCTCCTTTCTCCCCTGCAGTGGACAGCGGACTGCAGCCGGCAGCTGGACAGCAGCTGTCCCTTCTCCCGAGGGCGAGCCCCCCCACAGCAGGTAGGGAAGAGCTCTGCCCCATCGGGGTGTCATCATGTGTCTTTTCTGTCTGGGTTTTTGGGCTGGCCCATGATGGTCATCGCTGGTGACCCTGCAGGTCCCCGTACACCCTCTGGTGGCCCAGCTGCTCTTTCTGATGCCTCCTCCCTGCCTGCAGGGAACAGTGGATTGGAGGCCAGAAAAGCCTCTCCTGAGGAGTGGAGGGTGGAACACACAGGAAGTGGAAGAGGATGGGTGCCGCCTGCTGCCTGGAAAGTTCTCCCTAAATGGCCAGCCCACAGTGAGGCACCCCTTCCTAAGAACACAGAGATTACCTCTCGGTCCCTCCCCCGACTCTCCCACCAGCCCACAGGCTCTGATTTCAGGATAGTGAACAGGGAACCATGGGGAACTGGGGTGGGTGGCGACGGCGGGGCAGGACTGGGGAACTGGCAAGCAAGATGGCCCTGATCACAGGCTAGGCCTAGGGATCCTTCCTGTGCACGATTTCATGTGCTGAGCCTCTAGTGTATTATAACAAACACCTGCATACAACCACATGTCCACTGAGAAGAGAAGGGAAAAGTGGTATGTGATATATGCTCCCAGCGAAATATTACTCAGCAGTAAAATGAACTGGAGGCCCACACATTCATGTTGATGATGGGTCCCACAAACAGTGGGACTCCTAGGGGATTGGTGCCAGTGGGGCACTTCGGAGATTCTGCTCTAGGTTTGTGGAAGACCTGGAGGGGTAGACTGGGGGGTGAGGTATCAGAGACGTGACCATTTTCCAAGGCCAGCCAGCTGTCCTGGGACCAGGACACACAACCCCTATGTGCATTGTGTGGTCAGGAGAGCAGGAGGCCGCAAATCTTCCAGAGTCATCCCTAGTGACCTCTAGGCTGGGGGGAAAAAACACACACACACACATTTATCCTCACTCCCCACCCCTAGCCCAACCTCACACTGCATCTGTCCAGAGAAACGAGGGAGCCTTGAAGGGTTCCTGCAATAGCTTGCTCCTGACTTCAGAGAGCTGACTAGGGCCAGAGGGGTGGCTATGTGGCCTGAGCTTGGTATGGCCACACCCCCAGTGATGTGTGAAGCTATCAAAGAGTTGAAGGTGTTTGCAAAAGAATTCCCTGTAGATTCCTCAGCCAGGAAGTGCAGAAGCCTGGTGCTAAGCCCTGGTGGGCCTGAGGCATGGCCCCTGCCCTCAGGAGCCTTGCTATTTAGAAGGACAAAATGATGTGTGCAAGAGTGCCCAGTGCAGGGCAGGAGATGCAAGTTTCCAAAGGTGGCCAAGACCTTAGGTCCAGAGTTAGGAAACCTGAGCAGGCGCAGCAGAGGGGGCGGCCTGAGTCAGACCTCTGGGTGGAAGGCTATGGTTGGGACCCATGTGCTACACACCACACTGCACGAGAGGCCACAGCTGGATTGGAGTGGGGTCTCCTGAGGTCAGGAGGACTTTGGTTCAGTGACGAAAGGCCTGATGTTTAGACATGAGTGACTCAGGTCATTAGGGTATCAACAATAGAGTGATGTAAACCAAGGGGAAGCTTCTTTCTCTCTCAGGACAACCTGTGTGGGTGCTCGGGGTTGGCATGGCAGCTCAGTAGTGTCGGGACAAGTTCCTTGCTTCTCATTCTGTGCTATCTAGGGGGCTGCCTTTGTCCCCATGGTCCACGATGGCTCACATTCCAGAGGGAGCACCACCCTGAACCTCTGATGGAGGAATCAGAGCTGGTCAGGGTTTCTATTTCACCAGCTACCCCTGCCCACATGGAGTGGCTCCCTGATGGAGGGGAGAACCACAGCTATCCATTGAAGAGTGTGTTTGCTGAGTGCAGCTCCGATGGGATGCTGCTGGCCCATCCATGATTCAAGGCCCCCTTCAACCTGGCCCACTAGGTGTCTGAGCACAGGACCAGCTCTCAGGGACAGCTGCCCACCCCACAAGCACACCCATTAGCCTCTCCTCCAGGAAGATTCATGATGTGATCAGACTGTTCCATGTGCATCTGCCTGTGCCCTCAGCCAGCTTGTCAACCCAAAAATGGGAGCTAGGGCTGGCTCTGCTTCCTTGACTGCCCCTGGCCCAAGGCCTTGCATACAGTAGGTGCTCGTTGGCCCAAATCTAGTCCAGGCAACCAGCCTCTAGTGGGCCCTATGCCTCTGGCCACATTGACCTTGCTGAGCTTTCTGAGGTCACTGGGATGATAGGGCAGTTCTACTTCCCCAAGATTGCCCATGGGGGAGAATTAGTTCCAGAGGGAAACAGGCTAAATTGAGACTGGGGTGTCAGGCTGCTCTGGCACTGCCCCGACTCCCTATCTTGGCCCCATGTGCCCAGGAAAGGTGGTAGCCAGAGGATGTTAAGGTGCTGCATTCTGCCCAGAAAGATCTGTGTAGTGGGTCACAGACCATGGTGGTGCACGGGTGCAAGCCCCGTCCAGGGATTAGACATGTCCTGGGCTTACTTGTTTTATTTAAAGAAAACAAATGAACAAAAATCCCTTTGCCTCCTCTGCAGTCTTTTCGAGGCACAAAGTGGGAGGAGCCTAGAGTAGGCCGAGTCCCACAAGATGGGGGGAAGGAGGCTCAGAGCAAAAAATGGGCCACACATAGTCCCAAGAAGGCCTAACTACAGCAATTGGGAGCCAGCTGTATGGAGGACTCCTTGGAATCCTGGCAGCCTCTTTCCATGAGAACTCACTCATCACCTCGTCATTCAGTTAGGAGGAATAAATACAGTTTTCACCTTTTCATCATGTTGGGGGAAATGCATGTAGATGATGTATTCTTTGTTGTTGTTATTGTTGTTAATCCTCACCTGAGGGTATTTTTTCCATTGATTTTTTTTTCTTTTTTTAAAAGAGAGTGGAAGGGATGGGGAGAGACATAGAAAAACATTGATGTGAGAGACACATATTGATTGGTTGCCTCCCACGCATGCCACAACCAGACCGGGAGTCCAGCCTGCAGCCGAGATGCATGCTCTTGACTGGAATTGAACCCAGGACCCTTCAGTCCACAGTCCAATCTTCTATCCACTGAGCCAAACCGGCTAGGGCTGCATTAGATGATTTAGAGGATTTAGAGGAAATCATGGGAAAACATATCAAGATCCTGGTATAGGGCTTAGAATTCAGGGAAGAAAGCTGCAGGCGTATGCAGGTTGTGTGGGGTCAGGAGGGAGCAGCTCCTCCTCGTCTGGACGGAGTAGCCAAGGAAAGAAAATGAATCTTCACAACAGAGGCAGGGCCTATGATTAGACCTTGGAAGGACTTCCTGGCTGAAGGGCTTGCTGGCCATGGTGGCTGCTGAGCAAGGTGACGAAACAGTGCTGGGAACCTAATGAGCACCTCCTTATCAGGCTGGTCCCTGCCGAGCCCTGGGAAAGGTGGGGGCGTGTCAGAAATGGTGTCTGGAGTCCTGGCGGCAGCCTGTGATCCCACACTCCAAGGAGCAGCGTGAGAGAAGGGCACTTCCCTATTCCATCGTGATGCCTGGTAGCAACATGAAGCATCAGGAGAGTGTCCCAAAGGTCAGGAGAACAGATGCCGACCCAGGTGTGGCACGCCGTCCAGTGTCTCTTCTGCAAAATGAGGCATCGGGCTACACAGACCTCTGAGCCTCTCTGCAAAGTATTTCATTGTTTACATCCTCTGTCTCCAGGAAATTACCACTGGATCCAAACAGTTGCTCAGAGCAACAGGAGGTCTGTATTTTCCAGATTTTGCTGCTGTTCCCCCATCCACTCTGAATCCTATGCCAACCTGCAAGCTAGGTAAACTCTAGGTGCCAACATTGACTCCGACCCAGGAGATGGCAGGTTCCTAGTGGGATAGAAAACTTTTAGACAGTAGCTGTTCTACTCCAGCCAAAGAGCACAGGAAACACTGTGGCCCCTCCCACTCCACACCAGCACAAAGACCCAGTGGGTGCCTGGACTTCCCCCTCTCCCAGCTGGGACAGGTGCCTCAACCTCCCCCATTGGGCTGGTGTCAGAGAAAACCAAGTAAAAAGACACACCTTGCCTCCCTGATGGCTTGTAAAAGGGCCCTTATGCTCCCCATGGATTATTGGAGACCAGGTAGGGAAGCTGGACTTCCACCCCACCCGACAATAGTGAGGCACCCTCCTCTCCCTGCTGAGATGTGTCAGAGGAGGGCTAGTGAGTACTAGGACTTCTGTTGCCCAGTGATAAGAAGGCCACCTCCATGGCAGGATCATTGGGGACCATATGGGGACCGGTAACTTCACCTCCACCAGCTGTAACGACAGTGCCACTTTTGAACTGCTTATATTGTGGCGGTAACCCCTTTTCCTTGCCAGGGTCGTATCTCAAAAGCCAGTTAAAACAGATTTCAGTAAAAGTCAGAGTCTCATAACATATCACAAAAGTGTCCTGAGTGCAATCAAAAGTCACCTATCATACCAGGAACTGGGAAGAATTGGTACTGAATGAAGAGGAGACAATCCATAGATGTCAACACTGAGGTGTGAAATCGGCCTAGTATCTAGAATATGTAAAGAACTCTCAAAAATCCACATTAAAAACCATCCAATTTAAAAATGGACAAAATACACAAAGGCATGTATTTCACCGTAAAGAATATACGGAGGGCAAATGAGCACACACAAAAATATGTTCAACACCATTAGCCATGAGGGAACATCCGTACACACCCGTCAGATCATCTGTAATTAACACCAAGCGCTGATGAGGGTGCAGAGCGGACAGGTTACTCCACACTGCTGGTGGCAATGTACCTCCATTCTGGAAAACAGTTGGATAGATTCTTCAAAAACTGAACATCCAGGAACCATACGATCCAGCCATTGCATTCCTGGCTGTGTATCCCTGAGGAATGAAAACTCATGTTCACACAGAAACCTGTACTCAAATGTTTATAGCAGCTTTAGTGATTATAGCCCAGACTGGAAACGGCCCACACGTCCTTCCACACGTCCTTCCGCATGTAACTGCGGGACAAGCTGTGGCACTGAGCAATAGAGAGCAGCCACTTCTGCCACTCACAACCTTCAGGGAATGGTGCTGCGGGGAGGGGGGGGAAGGGAAGGGAGATGCCAGTCTCCAAAGTTACATCCTCTTTGATTCCATTTATGTAACATTGTTGAAGTGGCAAAATTATGGAAATGGGGAACCCGTTAGCCATTGCTAAGGCTAGGGAAGGAGGGGAGCCAAGAAATAAGTGGGTGTGGGTATAAAAGGCCAGCCAGGGGGAGTCTTATGCTGGTGAAAATGTTTTTGCATCTTTTAAAAATATACATTTTTATTGATTTCAGAGAGGAAGGGAGAAGGAGAGAGAGAAACATCTATGATGAGAGAGAATTATTGATCAGCCGCCTCCCGCACAGCCCCCAATGAGGATTGAGCCTGAAATCCAGGCATGTGTCCTGTCTGGGAATCAAAGTGTGACCTCCTGGTTCAAAGGTCGACTCTCAAACACTGAGCACATTGGCAAAGACCCAGTTCTGTATCTTGACTGTGTCAGTGTCAGTATTCTGAAAGTGACCTTAACTCAGGGGAGTATACTTGGTCATAGGTTGTAGTCATTAGCTCCCACCTCTCCCTGGTCTTTTTGGGTCTTAATTCGAAGACCGTGAGGATAGAGAGGGAAGGGACAGAATGGACAGACAGGCACAGAAGTTCCAGAGTGAAAGGAATGGCCTTCCCTGCTCCTGAACTCAGCGCTGGCGCCTCCCAGATGGTCCTCTGCTGGCTCTGCACTGCCATACTCCCATCTCCCTCCTACTGTAAGGAGGTTCAATTGTTGGGGGCCTATCAGAGGCTTGCCCACTTGCGTTGGGTGCTGTCCTTGGTGCTGAATGAACACAGGCATGCACACAGGCACACAACACAACTGTTTCTCCTTGAACAACACTGCCCTTCCCCACCTCCCTCTGCACTTGGCTTCTTATTTCTTTTTTGCTGAAGCAAACTCTAAAGTCTCATTTCATTTGGGCCTGAGAGCAGCTTTAGACCCAGCCTATAGGAAGTATCTGTTTTGGCCAGGTTCTGTCTAGTTTCTAAACCCTTGCAGACTAGAATTGTCAACACTCGTGCATGTGAACACACACACACACACACACACGCACAAACAAAAATCATTCTTAGTTGTGTTAATAAAGAAAAATGAAGCAGCATAAGAAAGGGTTCTTTTCCCTACATGACACTAACTTAGCATGTATTTCTACTATAGGGATTGACTCCCACCTTGTTTCATTCACTCAGACAGCTCACTCCCCATAGTCCCTCTAACTTCACGGTAGCAGATTTACCCTCTTCGCCAGCACTGCCTTCCCAAACACAACAGACAGACTGAGAGGACCCAAACATTTGTGGGGGGCGGGGGGGTGAATGTGTGACTGCATTATGGAAATCTACAGTGGGGTCAGAATTTATCTGAATAATTGCACACTGCAGTGATTAAGAGCATAAACTCAGGGCCTGTCTGGGACTGGTTCTGTGCACATGGACAAGTTCTCCGGGTTTGTTTCCTCCTCGATGAAATGGGGGTGATAACACTGGCTTCCTAGGGCTGGCACAGAGGTAAAGGGCTCAGGGTGCCTGGCCTCCGTGCATGCTGCCTCAAACGCTGTTGTCATCCCCTGGGGTCCATCTTCCCCTGAGCTGGGGTAGTTGTGCTCCTACGGGGAGCCTCTCTGGGGCAGTTTCCGTCTCCCTGCCCTTCCATTTCTCCTTCCACATGGTTTAAAGTGCTCATTAGCCCGCTGGTCATGCTGAGAGCAGCATGCTACACCCTGGCATGGGGCCCCTAATTGCCAGTAACAGGGGCCGTTGTGAAGAGTGCAGCCGCGTTTAAGTGCTAACAATGATCCTGTGAAAAGGGTACTTGTGTTTGATGGGCTTCTCCAAGCCTGGGCATTGCAGCAACCTGGGAAGCAGGGCCAGGGACCACGGAGCCGGGGCAGGGTGGGCTCAGAGACCAGCTGAGCTCACCAGGGCCAGCCTGGGAACTGCAGATGGGACAGTGTTCTTGAAGGGCTTCATGGAGAGCTCTCAGTGCCTGGCCTCTGAGTCCTTGATAAATAATAGCTCATGGATGATGCTGGGTCCTAAGGCAATGCTGGGGTGGGGGGAGGGAGTGGGCAGGCAGATACAATAAAAAAGCAAAGCCAGGGTTTATTTAATATATATATTATATATGTTATTAATTTCAGTATATATATATACACATATATATATGCATATATTATTGATTTCAGAGAGAAAGCAGAGGTAGAGAGAGACAGAAACATCAATAATGAGAGACAAACATCGATCTGCTGCCTCTTACACGCCCCACACTGAGGATCAAGCCCACAACCCACTCATGTGCCCCAACTGGTAATCGAACTGTGACCTCCTGGTTCACAGGTCAACACTCAACCACTGAGCCACACCAGCTAGGCCCAAGCCAGGGTTTCTCCCTTTGACAAGATGGAAGACTAACTGGGGAAGAGAGCTAACAGAGAGAGCATTAGATGACTTGTTTCCCAAGCAGGGTTCCATGGAACCCTACTCCTGCAAAGTGCTCCGTGAAATAAAGAGGAAGGGTGGGGTCAATTTCTGGCCGAAAGAGTTTGGGAAATACTGCATACTATCCTGCCACCCATTTGAAGAGTCCACATCCATGAAAGGCCAAGCATTCGGTGACTTCCTCTGTGCCGTAGGCTGATGCTGTTGGTGAATGTCTGCCCACGTTGCCGGTGTGTTCACACCTGGGAACTCAGGCCCAAGTCGCAAGACATGCACACGTTTAGCCTGAGCAGAGGTGGGAGTTTCGCCTTTAGAGAGTGAGAGGATGGCTAGCAGACAGCAGGGCTGACGAGGGGGGTATGGCAACAGGAGTGGAGGCAGGGAGGGCAGAGAAGCCACATCACAGATGCTGGAGCGCGTAGAGTGTTTTCCGCCTGTGGCTGGGCTGCGCAGGAACTAGCTGAGTGTGAAGATGTGAGCTGAGTGACAGAAATCCAGTTGCTGGCATAGCCTTAGTCAGTGGGTACTTCTCAGAGCCGTCTGATTTCAGGGAGTAGGAAGTCAACTCCAACAGGGACCCTCCAGTGTGCCTGGGGGCCGCTGGCCCATGTGGAGGGTTGGAGGAGAGAGCCATGGGCTGGGGCGGCGAGACCTGAGCCATTTCTGTATCTGATGGCACACACAGCTCCAGGAACACCATCAAGGCGACGGCCATGCCTGGGCAGAGGCTAGGTGTCCACCTGAGTTCTCCCAGCTGCCCAAGATGACCAGCCGAGGGGGCAGGGAGACTTGTGCAGCCCCCTCTGGGATTGGGGTTGTTTCCAGTTTCCCAGCCAGGCAGTAACATGGTCCTTCCTTTCCTTCCTGTCCCCTTCTAGAACGGCAGCAAGGATAACTCTCTGGACATGCTGGGCACAGACATCTGGGCTGCCAACACCTTCGACTCCTTCAGGTGCGCTCCAGTCTCCTGTGTGGTGTGTGGCTCTGGCCGGGACCCCAGCTTACGTGTCCTGCTGGAGAGCTGGGGGAAGGTTGAGAGTTCACTGATGAAGAAGCGGGAGAACCCAGAGGGCGAGAGATGGCTCACAGCATGAGGCTGAAGAGGAAGGAGGTTGGGAGAGGAGAGAAGGAGACTGAGGAGGGAGAAGGAGGAGAGAGTATCCAAGGGGAAAAGAAAGAGGAGGAGAAAGAGGGAGCTGAGGGAGGACTGGAGGGAGCGGAGGAGATGACTCCGGGTGTCAGGCAGCCCAGGGTGGGTTGGGACAGAGAGCCGTGGCTGGGGACCTCCCCCTGAGGTCAGAGCTGGTGGGGCTGGCAGCAGGAAAATCTGGAGGAAGGAGGGGTTTTCAGTGGCTCAGATTCTAGAAGGTTCCTGATGGACCAGGTTGGAAGAACAGGTGTTGCTGGGTTCCTTAGGCGGAGGGGACAGTGCCCGTGAAGGCACTGCTAATGGGCTCCTGCCCCGCTGGCCACCCTCAGGCCATGGGTGGCACGGCCCTCTCGCTCCGCTCTGCCTGGCTCTGAGCAGGTCCCCAGAGCTGACACCACAGGCTCCATTTGGCTCCATTCCTTGGCTGGGCTTGTTGCCTCCCACTTGCCTCTCATTTCTTGCCCTCCCTCACCCTCTAGTGGTGCCACCTGGGACCTGCAGCCTGAAAAGCTGGACTTCACCCAGTTCCACCGGAGGCTCCGACACACCCCCAAGCAGCCCCTGGCACACATCGACCGTGAAGGGTAAGGGGCAGCCGGCCGGCCGGAGTGTGAAGGGGCTCCTACAGAGGGGGAGAGTGGAGGGGGGCAGAAACAGCTGTGGCTGCACCAGAGCTGAGAGGGGCCTTTCCCTGGACAGGACGGTGGTCCTGCTGCTTGAGGGATACACAAATGAGTCGTGGCCTCAGACCTGAAGGCTCCCTGGCCTCCTGCATCCCTCAGCCACACTGCCTCGGCCCTTCATCACCCTAGGCTGCCTGACACCCGGAGTCATCTCCGCTCCTTCCAGTCCTCCCTCAGCTCCCTCTTTCTCCTCCTCTTTCTTTTCCCCTTGGATACTCTCTCCTCCTTCTCCCTCCTCGGCTCCTTCTCTCCTCTCCCAACCTCCTTCTTCTTCCTCCTGCCCAGGCCCCTCCAGTCACACTACCCGCTCCCTTCCCGACCCTGCACGGCGGGAGCCTAGTACATGGGTCTCACACTTGAGCAGAACCACCCGGGGGGCTTGTTTAAACAGATCCCTGCACCCAACCCCCGAGTCTGGAGGTCTGAGGTGGGGTGTGAGCATGTGTGTTTCTAACAGATTCCCAGGGCTGTTGTTGGTCCCGGGACCCCACTTTGAGAACCACTGGTATAGTGGTTGCTTTTACACTGGGATGTCTCACCCTCTATTTACTTCGTGTATCTCTGTTGCCTTCCCCCTTTAAAGAGACCTGTCCTCTTGGGTTTTTATGACTTCATCTCATAGTCATGATTGATTACATCATTGGCCACTGGCAATTAATTCCATCTTATGCCCTCTCCCCTCCCCAGACGTCAGGGGATGGAACTGGAAGTTCTAACACTTCTTCTCTGGGTTGGTTTCCCTGGAAACCCCATCCTCAGGTTGCCTAGGGACTTTCTACAGTCGCCTCATTAACACAACAAAATCCCTCCATCCTTTAGTAAACCCCCAGGATCTGGGGAGCTCTGTGCCAGGACTGGGGAGGAAGAGCAAATAGCTCTTATCATCAACTAGAGGCCCGGTGCACGAAATTCGTGCAAGAGCAGGTCTTCCTTCCCCGGCTGCCAGCACTGGCTTTCTCTGGTGCCCAGGACCTGGGCTTCCCTCACAGCCCCAGCTTTGTCCAGAAGGTTGTCCAGAAGGCTATACAGTCTAATTAGCATATTACACTTTCTTTTTTTAAAAATATATTTTATTGATTTTTACAGAGAGGAAGGGAGAGGGATAGAGAGTTAGAAACATCAATGAGAGAGAAACATCGATCAGCCGCCTCTTGCACACCCCCTCCTGGGGATGTGCCCACAACCATGGTACATGCCCTTGACCAGAATCGAACCCGGGACCTTTCAGTCCGCAGGCCAATGCTCTATCCACTGAGCCAAACCGGCTTCGGCCATATTACACTTTCATTATTATAGATTACAACATCACACGTGGTCCTTCTGTGTTCTAACTTTCTGAGGAACTGCCAGTGTTTTCCACACAAGTGCTGGATATTTCACCTTCCCACCCGCAACATGCAAGGGTTCTGATTTCTCCACCTCGTCATGAACATTTGTAATTTTCTTTTTAAAATTATACTCCTGGCTTTTTCCTTCCGAGCCTCCCCTGCCCACTCCTGTCTCCCTATCACTTTAGGTCTGAGCAAAAGTGGCCTGCCTCTCACCTGGCCTCCCGCTGCCACTTCCTGTCCCACCCACACCTTCTCTTGGTCACGCTGGTCTCACCACAGTGTAGTGAGCTGCCACCTGGGAGGGGTCCTCACCCTTCTTTCAGAGATAAGAGAAATGAAGCTCAGAGAGGCTGGGCTTCCCCCAGTGGCTCGCCCAAGTGGCAAAGCCTTGACTGAAGGCCTCTGATGCCATCCAGGGTATCCCTGAACCGGCCTACCCTCTCAAAACTTGATGCAAAATTATATGCACATGCATATTTCTAGGGAGAGGTATGTCAGCCTCTCCCAGGGGATTGGAGCCTCTCACCACGCCTCCCTTTTTTTTTTTTTTTTTTTTTTCATTGTCCTGTTTGTGTGGGGTGTGAGCATGTGCGGGCTCCATCAGAACTTTTGGGGTTGTTTTCTTGGGTTGAGAGGGAAGATGGCCTGGAGCACGGAGCATCCTATTAGAAGGCGGTAGAGCAAAGCAGAGGCCTGGCCCAAGGCTCCCCTGGCCCTGCCTCGCGCTGTCTGCCTGCTCACTGCATGCTCAGCCCCTCATTCAGCAGCAGGTACCTGTTTCCTCCTGCGCTGCTGCTGAGCAGGGCTGCACTCACGGCTGAGTGCAGGAAAGCTGACCTTCCCACGTTCAGGAGTGGGCTTTCAGCGGAGAGGGTGCTCAAGTCTGCCTTGTTGTGGGTGAGGTTGAGCGTGGAGTGTGCCGTGGGAACAGCATGTTGCATTTCTGAAGCCCATTTGCTAGCCCCCTAGGTGCCCGCATGGTACTGGGTACTGTGAGGATCTCTCTCTCTCTCCCGCTCTCTCTCTCTCTCTCTCTCTCTTTCTCCCCTCCCTCCCTCCCTCCCTTCCTTCCTCCCTCCTTCTCTCCCTCCCTCCCTGCATAAAACACAGCCCCCTGCCCAGCATGAGAAGGAAACATAAACCTATTCATGACTGAGACTGCAGGGAAATAAGGTTCGGTGCACGGTGTAGACACTTAGAGAGTGTGCACTGTGAAGTTAGCTGCCAGGCACATCGTCACGTGACTGCGAAGGGGGCAGCGTGGAGAACGCTTCGGGAAGGAGACACGGCATACCCCTGGGAGGCACCCATCTTTCCCGTGTCCCTGGGGGCGCGTGGATGGTGAAACCGGAGGGGAGACAGGCCCAGAGGACAGAAGGTGTTGGATGGGGAGCTCGTGTCATGGTCAGGGTTTCCGAAGGTCTGCACCAGTTCCCACAAGTGAACATAACTGGTTGGCAGTGGCCACGGGTGACTTGGGGGAGGAGAAGTGCCCGGTGCTGAGGACCATGTCCCCTCTGCAGCCAGAGGGACTGGCCACAGCCCCTCACCAACTGCAGGCCAGGCTCACCTGCTCACGGGAGCCTCTAGGATTTGCTGACAGTCGGCCAGGGCTCCCGTAGTCACCTAGTTCTGGCCAAGTGCTGTCTCATCCTGCTCAGGGAGTCAGATGCAGCATCCCGGGGCCGCCTTGTGGCTGGACTAGAACTGTGTGCCCTTAGAGCTCGGCCCCTGCAACATCTCGGCAGCAGGGCACCACTTCGTTGCCAAGGCTTCCCAGGTATCCATGGAGGGACAGAAATCCGTAGCAGCTGTTGCCTTGGAAACCCTGTTGGCAACAGTGAGTCAGCTGGTCTCCATCAACCTTCTGCCCTCAGCCTGCAGTCATCCAGGGGCTGTGAGCCCCGGACAGGGTGGGTCTAGGGCTAGGAGAACACAGCCCCTCTGCCTCCCCTCTACACACACACACACAAGCACACACACACACCACCCACTGCTGACCTTGGGACTGGGACGGGAGAAGGGAAGGCCAGGCCTGAGCTGTGCTAGGCTGGGGCCTGCATGTGCTGGACCAGAGGGGCACACACACGTGACTGTCAGCCATTCTAGTCGGCCCTTCCTTCCCCTGCCCCGGCATAGATGAAACAGAAATGACAACAAGCCGCTGGTAGCTTCACAGGCCGGCAGTCTCTACCAGGCAGATGTGTTAGTGAAAAGGCCGTTGAATGATTCTAGACCTTTCTTGATTTCAGAGAGGAAGAGAGGGAGGGAGAGTGATAGAAACATCGGTGATGAGAGGGAATCATTGATTGGCTGCTGCCTGCATGGCCCCTACTGGGGGCTGAGCGGACAACCACTGCATGTGTCCTGACCAGGAATTGAACAGTAACTTCCTAGTTCATAGGTCGACACTCAACCACTGAGCCACACTGGCCAGGCTGTTTCTGGACCTTTCTTCGCCTCATGGGCAGCCCAGCACATCCCAAGGCCAGAGTCGGGGGCCGAGGGACAAGAACTCATCCACTTTTCCCTCCTTCACCCCTTCTGCCCAAGCTTTACCTGCCAGCCCCACCCCCACCCCCATATCCTTCCAGCCTGGCCCTCCAGATCATCTGTTACCCACCCCTGGCACCCTCTCCCCCTACTCCAGCCCATGCATACTGATGTCCTGCTGGCATCGGGCTGCATTTAGCTCCGGGCCGTTGTCCTCCCTGTTACCCTCCCTGCTGCCCTCTGCCCAGGACATTCTCCCAGATTCTCTGCTTGGCCAGCTCCCCCACCATCTCCCTCCCTCTGCTCAGACTGTTGTAGACCCTGCTCTTCCGGGTTCCTACAGCGTGTTCTCTTACCCCAGACCCAACCCTGTTTGCCAGGTGGGGCGGGACACAGTCAGGTGCCATCCCTTCAACATCTTTGTCTTTTCTGCTCCAGGTGTGGAAAAGGGAAGCTGGAAGATGGGGATGGGATCAACCTGAATGACATCGAGAAGGTCCTCCCAGCCTGGCAGGTAGGCACAGGGGCGGAGTCTCACACACTCTCCTCTCCCAGGTCCCAATCCCGATCCTGGGCCTGGGCACTTCTACTTCTGCTGGTCCCCTACCTCCAACAAAACATCACCAGATGTACCATGTGTAGGCAGGGCAGCTGCCTCCACGTCCAGAGGGTCCCACTGTGATGTGTGCAGAGGGCCCAGTGGCCCTCAGACTTAATGCCTGTTGTTGATCTCCAGGGAGCTCTAGCTCCTCTCTCACTGGGAGTCACACATGGGTGACTGGGAGTCACCGTGAGTGGTCCTAGTGGGAGGGCCTCATCAGAGCCCAGATGCTGACACGTGGGTGCCCATCCAACCCCTGCTCCAGCCAAAGCACCCCCTATCCTGATGTTCCCTCCTGGCTGTACTTCACAGCAAGCAGTGCACCTAGAGGGTGAGTCACACAGGGCTCTCCCTCAGGGACCCCCATCTCTGGGGCTCAGCAGCAGGGCGGACAGCAGGTTCCCCCATTTCCCCAGCCTAGTTCTCCACCCTGTAACGGCACCTAGTTGGTCAGTAAGGGCTGATGTTCCTCATAATGGCAGGTGAGCTGGGGGAGGGGATCGCCGCAGCTAGATTTTGGCGCCCACACAACCCATCGGCAGCTTCGGGTGCACTGAGGCTAGCCAGCGCTGCTCCCAGGAGCTCTGATCTCGGTGGGAAGCTGGAGGCTCTGAGCTCGGTGGCATGGTTTCTGGCAGTTGTGAGAGTGAGTTGGGGAAAGGGAGGTACGACACCAGTCATGGTTCCAGGCCATGAAGCCATACGGCAGGGTAGAAGCTAAAACCCAAGCAATTGGGCTTAGGATGGTGTTTTAGTGGCCCCTCCTGCATTTTTGGTACCTCTGCTGTGAACTGCGTGTGGGGTGAAAGGGGTTGGCTGTCGCGCCGTGTTGACAGTGATAGGAACCTTCCAGCCCCATCATTTGTAATCCTGCTCCCAGTGTGGCTCTGGGTCAGGCGCACCTGGTGCGGAGGCCAGGACAGTCGGCTGCACCGCAGTCAGCTCCCACTAGAGGGCGCCAGCGCACCGCTCCAGAGGCTACGCAGGCTGGCATTTGCAGCGGGAAATCCCTAGTCCCCAACAGCCAAAGGTGTCCTTGCCTTTTGGCGCTCAACATGTAAATGGTCCCAAAAATGACCCAAGGCAACACCCGGGCCCTTCCTGCCCTGAACAAGGGAGTGGATGAGGTAGTAGAAGAGGCAGCCACACAAAGATGCAGGGACGCACCTGTTTGGCCAAAATGTCTTCTGCTGTGCAGGGGCCTGACATTCCTCCTGGGCATACTCCCCACACTCCCTCCTCAGACCCTGAGGACCACGTGAGGGGTGCCGGTGGCATTCCCCACCCCAGACGGCTCCGCCCGGGCCTGCAGGGGAAGCTCCCGCCAGCGTGGGGCGGGGGAGTTACCGCATGTTGGCTTCTGCCCTTGGACGGACAGGCACTGGCAGCCCGAGCTGGGGGGAGATGGAGCTCTGTAATCCTAGCCTCCAGATTGTGCTCCACGAAGCTCACTGTGAAGGTGGAAAATCGAATCTGAGTGGGTCCTGTCCTCACCTTGCACAACAACCCTCACCCTGACCCTGCGGCAGGTGGGTTCCCCAGCACAGGGGCCAGGCCTCGGGCGCAAGGAAACGCTGCTTCCCTCACCCACCGACATGCTTCTCTTTTGTAAAACCCCAGCCGAGAGCCATTGCTGTTGAACTGCCCTGTGTCTGGCCCAAGCTTTCTGGAAGGAGACTTTTCGATCAGTTTTTCTGACTTCTCTGTCAGACAGATATGATGTTTTGTTTTGTTTTTTGTTTTCCGACAATAGGAACTGCATACCTGGCTTATTTCCCTCTCTGCCTTCCTCTTAGGAAGTTTTGACACTAAGCTCTGTGTCTGTCCCGCTGAGCTCTGGTGACTGGCCCAGGTTAGTCATGTATGGCCCAGGTGGGCACGGCATGCACGCTGAGCAGAAGCATACCCGACTCAGGTGGCATTTCTGGCTCGTGGATGTGCCCAAGGCGCTCCCTACGGAGGGCCCAGGCGGAAGGTGGCTCAGGGTTTCTGACCTCAGAAGAGTGTGCCCAAGGCACTCCCTTCACACAGGACCCCGGCTGAGAGAGGACAGGAGACCAGCTGAAGGAGGAGACAGTGAGACTTGGGGTTAAGCAGCCGTTCCCATGCTTGGCCACAAGTAATAGCAAAATGAGTACCAACCCCACACCTGCATGTACATACACAGGCACACATATACACACATACAGACACAGTCACACACAGGCACACACAAGCACATGCCTGAGGAACCTGAGGGATCAGCAAGCTTCCAGAATGAAAATCACTGCGAGCCAGAGTGATGCCAGGACTCCCCCTTGCCACCCAGCACTTGGCTTGGCGGACTAACACTGGGAACTGATGCAGGAGCCGCCTTCTCCTTCCAGCAGGGGGCGCTGGTGCTGTTTGGAAACAGGGTTGGTGGACGCTGGATGGAAGCTGCGGTAGCCCCTTTCCCAGTCTTCCAGATGGGAAGAGGTGATTTTATTGTTCCCCAGAGCTATAACAGCTCTGTTGCCAAGCCTTCTGGACACTTCCAGGATCGCTACCTCACAGGCATAGGATTATTAACATACCCCGAGACGCTGGGATAGGTTAAAAATGAAAATCACGTGAAAAGCCCTCCTTCCCCAAGGCCCTCTCCTTTTCCCCAAAGGGCCACTGCAGGTCACCTCTTGGTCCCATGGAATGTCCACTCTGGCCTCGTTCCCTGGGTCTGCCAGGATCTCTCGAACTGCCTCCTGTGAGCCAGGCGAGGGCTTAGCCATGACGGACGGAGTTAAAATGCAGGGGGCGCTGCACCTTCCCAGGAGGGCCTTGACCACCCCTCCCGCCCCACTCCATTCTGTGTGGCATTGCTCACGCCTGTGCTCTACTTCTGTTGGGGTCTGCATCCTCCCCTGGAAATCAGCCCCGCATGGGTGGCTGAGTGCACCCTGACTGGCTCCTGCCCCAGAGGGACTTGGCCCCAGCACCCCAGGCCAGACGCTGGGCCTGCCCCTCGGGTTCCCACGGATCCAGTCCTGTCTGGGCTGCCTGTCGGCACGCTGTCTCTGAAGGCACGGGCGAGGCAGAGGTATGGCTATCGTAGACATCTTACAGACACGGAAACTGCGACCAGATACCTCGCCGCCCCAAGTCGCAGGGCTTATCAGTGGGGCGTGGGGGTTGGAATTCAGGCCTCCGGACTCCTCCGCGTCCTCGGTGGAAGGAGGAAGAGCCGCTAGAAAACCGTTCTCTTTCTTGGCGCCGTAGTCACGTACAGCGCGTCAGTGGAGAATGTCATTTCCTTAATGAACAGGGACAAGCATGTGAGTATCTTTTTTTTTTTTTTTGAAGGCATTAAAAATGGAGAGAGAGACTGAGAGGGGAGACACCAGTGAAAGAAGAAGAGAAATTGCTTTTCCTTCTTTATTTTTTCAATGGGAAAGGTTCCTAGTGGCTTCTTTCTCATCCCCGTGACCTCCGCTCTCCAGGAGGCGTGCTTACCTGGGAGCCCCTCTGCCCTTGTGGCAACCCCCTACCCCCCCTGCCCCTGCCCCCATGCTTCCTCCTCAGGACAAAAATAGGCGCCCCTGCAACAAAGGACACGGCTCTTCACAGCAGCCGGCTTCCTGTCTGAGGCCGCCAGGTAGCAAGGCCCCCTGGGAATGGGCAGCGTGCTCTATGAGGCAGCCTGTTTGTGTTTTTGTCATTTATGAGTCTCTTTACAAGACATTATTTCTGGGAGGAGAGGGGATGTGACTTTGTTGGTGACAACTAGGAACGTTCCTAGGCAACAGGCAACGGGCTGTGAGGACTGGGCTGTGGCAGGGCCTGGGGCAGGCAAATTGCCAGGAGCTGGACGGCAGGTAGCAGGTGCATGCGCTCTGGCTCCGAGTCCAGAAAACATCCTTCTTTCTCATAGGCCAGACTCAGGTGCTCAGAACACAGCAAGAGCCTTAGACGGGGGGGAGGAGGGGTCAGCAGAACGTGCTCCACTGACCAAGCACAGCTCTGCAGCCTGTTTCTGCAGACAGAGTTAGGGGGGTGCACAGGCGATGTTGGGCGCACACAGGCACCATTAGGGGAGCACGGAGGCGCACAGCGGTGTCGGGCACACAGACGTACCGTACCGTTCACCCAGGCAGTGCTGGGGATTGATGACATGGACCCTAACCACCAGCAACGCCTTAAACACGTCCTATCGGGCCCTCCACAGAAGTGTGCCTAACGCCGGTGGAGAATATAAACCCAGAAATGCCCTGAGAGCTGAGGCAGGTGGCGCCACCCTCAGGGGCCTTCCCCGGAGCCCTGGGCGAGTCCTGCAGCTCCACACACACCATGCGGCGCGTCTCCTCGTCACCACTCTCTCCGAGCCCCCGTGCCTTCGTGGGATCCCCACCTGTCTGACTGGCATCGCAAGGCGGTGCTGAGGGTCCTGTGCACCGGGTCCGAGAGGGACAGCTACTTGTAAGCCAGAACACAGGCTGCAGAGGTGGCGTGGTCTGGTTACATGGAAGCGAGCAGGGGGCTGTGAGCTTGACACACAGGAATGTGCCTGGGAACCGCCCAGCAGGTCCCGTCTGGGGGGTGGGGGTGAGAGGGTGGGGAGTAGAGGGCGGAGATTCTGTTGAGTTTCCCCAGGTCCTTCTCAGACTGACATCTTAAAAAATAATAACCGTCCGCCTGTGTCGACCTCAGGCCGAGGGAAGACCTGCCTCCTCCACATGCTCACATCCTCACCCCTGTGTGTCCTGACCTTTCCCTCCCCCCGATCTCCCCCTTCTCGTGGCCCTGTTCAAATGTTACCTCCTCCGTGAAGCCCTCCTGGGCGAATCAGACCACCTCCGTCCCCAGAGATTGGGGGCATTTGGGGGACTTGATTCCAGGCCAGACTTGAGGCTGTTTGTTTCCTGCTTCTGTGTGTGTCTGCACTTCCCGGAGCGGGCAGA